GTGTAAAACGGCAATAGTTTAATAATTGAGTGTAGTTATGACTAGTGAAGCTCTAATAAATCCAATTACCAATCCGAACTGCGGCTCATTCGCCCAAGCACGTTACAATATAAAAATACTTATTTTATAAATGCTGTTAAGTAAAATTTATTACAATTAAATTACTATTAATACTATAATAAAGCAATATTTTCAGTTAATAAAATAAAATATCTGTCATGTCAGTGCATAATTTTTATAGCTACATATATTTCCCCCAAAAATATATACTCAGTAACAGCATAAGTTATGAAGGGTACTGCTCTTCTGGGATGTGATGTATGCAGTCTGACTGAAGTCTGTCAACATTTTTGAGAAATATTATTGCTCTATCATCAGGGAAGGAAAGGTAGCCAATCATGCAAATATCAAGCACTCTGCTTAATTGACATACTCTTTGATGATGAAGATTGAGGCAATATATTTCTTCAAGACGTTGATAAAACTACATAGTGTCACATACTAGAAGGCACTACTCTTCATAGTCCCCACTGTAAGAACCCCAGATCTCACACAGAACAGGTTACATTTATTAGCTTACAGTGTCAGCTTCATGTGCAACATGCTTCAGCTTTCACAAAGATCATGCATGAGGAGATGCCAGGAGCTGAAACTGTACAGTTTGCCTACTGTGGTTATGTTAACATATATGTTGGCCGCATTACTTCAGTGTATTATATTTTATTTAACAATTTTTTGGAGGGGGCTAAGCTTCAGAAAAGGAAGAATCATGTAGAAATTTGACTGCTTGATTCATCATCCCACCATACTGACATACGCTCCAGCAATGTCATATAGGTTCATGTTAAAATTTGTATACTGATTTATGGGGACGAGCAATGTTTTTCACACAGACCATTACACGCACGCACACGTGAACACGCACACACACACAGATAACAGTAAAACCAAAAAAGCTGTGAAATGTCTGCATTGCATAACAGTTTGGGTGCATTCACTTTGTTATTCCTATTCATTTTCATCGTTCTTTTAAACATAGCATAGACCTCATACTTTCAAGCAAAAACACAAATAAATAGGTATTTTGGATATATTTTCCCTTTTTACAAAACCAACATGATCAGGACTGAAATTATGTGAACTACAAATAAACAAATTTGGTTTGTTTTCTGTTTTTTCTTAATTGTGCTCATTTGTTGAGATAAAGGAAGCATTTGTCTTCATGTAAATGACCTATTATGATGAGAATGAATTCTGAGTAGCGTAACACACGACAGGTTCTCTAGCCTCCTCGATGGAAGCCATCCCACAAGAACTGGACATTAAATTAAAGATCACAGAAGACATGATGGCGTGGTGAAAAGAGATGACGGCTGACAGATAAGGGATGGAAACCTATCCAGAGGAAATTAAGTCCATAGCAGAGCATGAGGAGGTCCCTAAGGAAGAGGCTGCGGTGAAAACTTCTGAAGAAGTGGCATGGGGACCGGCATCTAGCTGTAAGGTGCAGCGGTCAGCAGAAGAAACCAACCCAGGGCAACGGTGGGTCCTGGAAGAAGTTGGCCACCGCCTGCAGAGGGATGACCTATTGTGCAGGAACAGCATGGGACATGGTCATAAAGGACCAACAGTTGAACAGAGGTGACGTAAAAGTGGACGAGGGAAAATATTGTACAAGGAACCCAGAAAGGATAGCTGTTTCGTGAGGAGGCGTAGGGCATAACAGGAATGCAATAACTGTATACAGAACCAAGACTTAAAAAGGAGTGGCTACATCTTGGAAACGAGAGGTCATCCGGCAGGATCTTCAGGAAAACCACTGGGCTGGAGATTGTGAATAGCCAGATCTTCCGTCAGGATTCGGAAAATGAATGTCAGGACATTGTGGAGGGGTCGGTCCCCTCCGAAACGGAAGAAGAAACCACTAACAGCAGATTAACAGCTATGGATGTAGGAGCATTGACCATTCTCAGAACTTTTGCCCTGACTGATTGGAAAAGCTGGATGGCGGTTATAATCCTGGACCGACTGGTACCCTATGATGGAACCTCTGGGGACAAGTGGTCTTAAGGAGGGAGCAGCGTGAACAGTTGGAGAGTAAACACCGCGAAAAACCGACCCACGTGGAGGAAGGTGAGACCAAGCACAGACGTTGCAAGCAAAGCCCTCAGAAAAGAAGAAATGGCGGCATTCCTGTAGGTTACTGGGGACAAATAACCTTAAGGAAGGAGCAATGTGGCGTATAGACCCTTTGCTAGGCAGGGACCTCAAAGCAAACAAGACGACGGCTGTTGTTGTGCAATGGCACAGTAAACACACCTCTACCACGATGAAGTTATCGCTCGGTAAACACGTTCCTGCGGCAATGGGATGTTGTCTACACATTCCGCGCCGAGGAATTATAAAGAAGAGAACTGGGGCAACGAAGCCAGTTGAGCTCTACAAGGGAGGCTGAGGAGGGATGGCGCTATAATTCAGTGGATAGTTGGCAAGAATTCTGCATGACCAGCTGTGAAGATAGAACCTGAGTGTGGGAAGCTGATGAATCTCCACTGTTAGAAGCTGTTGCTAGGGAACGTCTGTTAGAGACACTGCAAGTTGGAGAAGACTTGGTGTGTAGTGATTTGGGGAGATTGGCAGTGGTGCTGTAATTACTTGTAATTCTGAGTCATCTGTATAAGTGGTCAATAAATCCATTTACCATTCATCTATAGTCACACACATAAATTGTGACAATACTAAGAGTGATTGTATGTGTAAAAATATGTGCAGTACATGAACATACATGGCAAATTTTCTTACTAATAGGTTTACCAATATGAGAAAAAAAAAATTCTGAACAAACATCATAGTGCATAATTACATACATACTTTTAAATTATACCTTTTCATAAGTTAGAATTTTGAACACATTTTTAATATGTATTCAGAACATGAAAAGAATTTTGTTATGCACGGTCTTACTCGGAAAGTTGATAGTCACTCAGCTGGTCAACACATTTGTTTCCTACTTTAAAGAGCCCAAGCCTCATTACCAAGTTCACAAAAGCCCACCAATAAATCTACCTTGGGTCAGTTGTCCACCCCTTCACTACTGATGTATTGAGAACTGAACTTAAATGTCATAAAATGTCAATTACATGATCATGCATTTGTTGCAGTAAGTGATTTATATTTAGTCTTTCTGCAAAGTGCATAAAATTAATGCATAAGTGGGAAGTGGTGTCAGCACATGTTGTCTCTGGAGCTATTAAATGTCAGATGTTTATTTACTCTCTATTAATACTGGTCCAAGCTGCTTTATATGAAACTAAAACTGAATTTACCAGTTTTCTCAAAGGCATCTATTCACACAAGAAAGAATGGTACACAATTAGTATATACACATTATTTGAAACATTTTCCTATGTGATTTATATCACCCCTCTTCTGGGCAGTTTGTTGGAGCTGTTTCACAAATATGCATTCTTTCAATGCTGCTGTTCATTTAAATTAACTTTTTCCAATTAAAAAAGCATTAATTTATATAGTTAACTTTGTTTAGAGATGGTGAGACAAGTTTCTTTTCCTGATCTCAAATAATTCAGTCTCTTGAAAAGACCAGTGCTTCTAAGTAAATCGTCTCATGCATGTTATTTTTTGCATTTAAGTACACCTGTGTGAAAGAACTTCTGATGAGGTTTTGACTTCAAGAGGTATAACTAAATTTAACTGATTGATGAATTTTGATTCCAGTTTTATGACAGAGACCACTCCTTTAAAAGAAGACCCAATATACACTTTAACAAATACTGTATATACCAAATATTTCAAATTTGTAACATTTAATGAAATTAGTATTTTATATAATGCATGGATTTTTCATATATATTTATGGTGTTAAGGAAAAAGAGGGTTAAGTCACTAAATGTCAAATTTTCAGGAAAAGAAACAACTTCAGAAGTTTATGCAGTAATGTATATAACCCAGTACTTGTTAGTGTCACTGAACTATTGTGCTTAAAAGGATAACCTGGTTTCATGATACTTTCAATAAGGAGAATTTTGTGATGCATTTCTCATTTTGAACAATTTCTGACTATACCATGTTTTCTATAACACCACAGATATATACGCAGCATGCGCATATTTATGATATGCTGTGCTCTAAGGTACTGAAACACTGTAGAAAACATTCTACCATTTCTGTGTAACTTTGTACAGTACTGTCTTCTAACACAGCAGACAATTCTACAGTATTTGCTGAACTGCCTGCTGAAAGAGCCCATATTTTCCCAGATAGAATGCAAATTTTCCTTCAAAGAAACTGACTGCATGTTATATTTGCATATGCTAAATTATGTTAGAAGTTTTTATTTACTGAAATATATTCTCTGGGTTGCAACAGTAATGAAAAATGTAATTGCTATATGTAGTGTCAATGACATTTTTCTTTAACTTAACAATACATACTCTGCAACAAAAAAGTTAATGCAATAATGAATGACCAGTTTACTTCATAAAACTACCAAATAGAAAAACTGTGACATTTTAAAAAAGTTTAGAAAAGTAAGTCCTTTTATTTCAAGTTGATTATTTAACAATGCTACCAGTATCAAATCAGAGTGTTGTTTACTATATTTAGAAACCTTAATGAGTATTATCCAACTTTTGTATGAACATTTTCTTAAATACAAGATTTCAAAACTGGGGTGCAAATATAGTATGCTGGTGCCAACATGCTCCTGATTAAGTTTTTTTGAGACAGAATATTTTTATGCTTTCAGTTGTCATTTAACACCTGCAACTACTTCACTAGAACGATATTTCTTTTTGTACATCAGTAGAATTACTGTTATTTCAATGCTCAACTGTTACTTTTATAATACATTCACCAACACATGTCAACAATTTTCTTGCTGCACACTTCCCAACCCTCACTCCTGTATGACTATTTATTGTCTGTTCTTTTCCACAACCCTATCTGCTCGCTCATCTGTCAATCCGCCTCCACCCAAACAGAGAGCGTGAGGCTCAGCTTGAAGTGGAGCAACAAAGGAAAGTGGCTGAGCTGAAAGATCAGTTTGCTGCTGAATCTAAACAATGGCAGGAGCAGATGAAAGCCTTGAAGGATCAAAGTCAGCAGAAGCTTAACTATTTAGCAAAACTGTGAGTATTCATGGCTTATGTATAAACACAATATTCTACTCTGTGACATTATAAGAACAAAAACAAAAATATATGTAACAGGGCCCCAGATGTATGCTCACCTACTCACCATAAGTTAATGGAGGCTGGTGGTCAAAGAAAAATATTTGTATGAAGCATGTTTTAAATTAAGCTTGAGTGATTTTTTATGTGGTTATTAGATTTAAATTGCATATCTGTAATCATTGAACTTAACATTAGGGATGCAAAGTACAGCATATGAACCAGACAGGCATACAAAGATAATGAGGAAAATTATATAATAAGCAGTTTTGGAATTCATTACCTTCACCTAGTATTTTTAGGGTAATTAAATTATGAATGAAGAAATTAGTTGGGCAAGGAACATGTGTGACAGAAAGACAAGAAATGCATGCACAATTTACATTGGCAAACCTCAAAGGAAAAGGAAGCCTACCTAAGAGGATAACATTAAAATTTATCTCCGAGAAATATGTTGAAAGAATGTAAACACAACTGAAATAGGTTGGGATGGTGATGAACATTTGGGTTCCATATAATGGAATTTCATGATGAACTTACCAATTGCTCAAGGAAGATTCCACACCGTGAACTTGGCTGATTATCAAAGGGAATACCTTGCAATGTACTGCAAATTATGTATTAAGATACTGACTTTTCAGTCTTGAAGGCAGGTTACTCATTTGATAAATATTAATTCACCTGCTATTGAAAATGTCAAAGAAGTGAATGCAAGTTTGAAATCAAATGGAAGTATCTTTGATTAAAGAGGCTAATATTAATTAGTAAATTTACCAATTATTTTCTCTCGTCAGGAAGCATATTATATCACCTTAATCCCAAAATGATTTCAACAATAAGATTCCTTTATGAGTAAATAAAAAAAAAAAGCAATAATGGTACTAGATTGGGTGTACATATATATAGTAAAATTCAAATGCACCACTATATATTAGTAAATAAAAATCTCAGTTTCCTGTGTGATAGTCAGGATTCACTCAATTGCAAAATAATCAAAGACATCATAGCATTTTTTCATCCTTTCAGTTACACCTAAATGCAGATTCAGAATTTTCCTTTTGAAACTCAATTTGTATTTAAAGAGGTGCACATACCTGGATTCAGTCCCAAGGTTTGTGAGATTTGTGGTGCACAAAGTGTTACTGAATTGGATTTTTCTGAGCCAGTACTTCTGTTTCCTCTAACAACTGATCCAACAGTGCATCATATTCATCTATCACCACTGACTTCTATCCGCACCAGTTATTAGTTATAATATATGAGGTTTATTTTTGAAACCAGTTCTATCTTTTGTCAGTGTCTATATTCAAGCAGCAGTGGTCATTTTGAGTTGTGCAGAAACTAAAATTATATACCCTTTGTCCTAGTGTTCAAGAATCAGAGGAGAAGTACAAGAACAGGGAATCTCACAAAGAAGACACCGACCTGATTGCACACTTGAAGCAGGCATTAGAAGAACGGGAGCATGAAATCGCATGTCTCACAGAAGAGAAGCGATTCTACCAACTTGAACTAATGAACCATGAGTCAACATACAATCACCTGTTTAGTGTACAGCCAATCACAGGGGTGATGGACCCATTGCATCATCATCGTAAGAAAGGTTTGAAGAGTCCAAGCAGGCAACATCAGTTACATCCACCAAAAGCTCAAAGGTGGCAAGTGACAGCCTCCTCTGTTCCTGCCCTTTGTACCCACTCAAACACAAGTCATAGGAAGGATTTTATAGTTCAAAAGTCAAAGTCTCTAGAACCCAGCATGATCCATATAAAACAAGACCTGCATGGTAAAGTTGCAGAAACCTCCAAGCCTGTTTGTAAAGATAAGTCTCATCAAGTAATGTCTCCTTTAGATCACGTATCTAATCTAGTCAGTACCACTGAAAACTCTACTGTAGAGACTTGTGGGTTACAGTCCATAGAAACAACATCTAACTTCAATTCTGTTCCAGATCAAATTGTCTGTTCTGGAACTAGCGAGTCACTCAAAAGTGACAAACTGAGATCTGTTCAGGGTAATTCAGACCAGATCATGGCAGACCTAAGTTCTATAACAAATTGTGAGAGTGCAGTAAGCCAGGACTGTCCACTAACATTCAATGCAGTAGATGTCCCAGATTCGAGAATGTCAATATTGCTGCAAAGCCATAAAAGTGCTGAAAGAAGTAAAATTAGTAATTCTGAAATTAGGTCAAAGTCTGTAGAGACAGCAGCAAATGAAGTTCGTTCCATAATTATAGGCAGTGTATCTACCCCAACGCTGCAGTAAAAACACAATGAAATAATTCATAAAGGTATTGTGCATGCAATGCACTTATACCAGCCTGAACTGAGATAAATTACCATGTCCAGGTGATCCAAGTTACCACAACTTAGTCATACCTAGTACTTGTCTTCAGCATTACTCAGCTTTTACCTCAAGTTGCAGTTAGCTGAAAAGAAATACAAGAGCCAAGTTGGAGAAAAGTCAGAGACTCTAGTCAGTGTAACTAAAAAGGAACAGGCAGCTTTTGCCATTCTTTCAATGAAATGCATTCACATGAAGACTTAAAGACATAAAGTTTACTCTGTGATGGTGTGTCAAGCCACTGAACATTTCTTTACATATATACATTAATCATGTCTCCACACTTCATAGTGCCTTATGTCTGAATTTTAAACATGCAATCAATCAGGGAATGCAGAGCTGTCCCTGATGGGCATAAAAAATTGATCTAGTGCAGTAGGTAATGTACAACACAGGTTAATATGAGATGTTTTAGAAAATAATTTGACGACAGGTATTCTGAGCTGCCATCTGTCTAAATTGTATACATATCGAATTGTGTAGCACTTCAATTTGTACATCCTCTTTCCCAAAAATTAGAAATAAATGCTGTACATTTTTTATGTCATTTTATTTCACAGTTTTACATACAGTGATGCAGTGGTTTCAACCACAAAGTTTACATACACAAAACCTTAGACTGCAAAGGTCATGGCATACCATAATAAATGTATCCCTTAAAAATGAAAGACAGTTTTAATGGAAGAAATACTTACAAAAACTAGATAGTCAATGAAGGACAGACTGAAGAAAGACTAAGCGAAAAATATGTACAAAATGAATGCACAGCATTACTGTACCGAACCCTCCTTCCTTTCTGTCCACAGTAAGCCTGTCAGTACAGTAAAATGTGCAGAGTTAACATTCTATTAGACAAGTAATGACAAACCAACATTAATTTTTAAATGTGAATGTCAACTTGGTTAAGAATAACAGACAGGTACCAAAGCTGTCAACAGGAACTGGAGTATTCCTAATGTTTGTATTGACAGCACTGTTCCCAAAGGTACAAATATGATGGTATGTCCAGTCCTGTTAGATAACCCACTCCATGAATTGAAAATAACTTCACATTGTAGAAAATTCTTCAGTTCTGGCCCCAACTTCCTAAAACTCAATGTTGAATGGATAGTGCTTGTGGTCTTTAATCCTGAAAGAGAATTTCATAATCAAAATCTGGTTGGTTGCCACACTCTGACAATTAAGTCATTTGTGCTTCTAACCTCATTTTAATATTAACCTCCACATAATATCTCCCAAATCATATCTTCCCATGCAGCTTACCAACCAATATTATGTCCCATCAGTTTCACATTTCTCCTTGAATGTCACAAATTACAACAGGTCAGAAACAAAAATCATGAAATGCCTTGTAACAGAATTCATCATTCCTCCTGCAATTTCATTTCTTAGGCCAAAATATTCTTCTTGGTACTTCGTTCTCAAAAGCTTTAAATCTCTGTTGTTCCCTTGTAACACGAAACAAAGACTCAATTTCTTAATCTAAGACAGTCATTAGGATTCCTAGGATGGGGGATCAGGAATAAACACAGGCATTCATGCCTTGAGTGGAATTTGAACCCATGATCCCAGTATTCGATCAGACGAAGACATTTCATGCCTTAGAATGCGTGGCCACTGTGATCGGCAACCCTTTCATTAGGAAAACTTTTTTATTTTCAACTTTAATCGTAATTTTTAAATGAAGCTTGCAGAAAACTAAATATTGTTAGCTCAAACGTTTCCAACTATGTGACCAACTTAGCTGAACAGCAGAAGTGGCAAGACACTGGCAGAAATAATAGCCAAATGAACTATTTTGTTGTGAATTCATTTTTAAAACCACAATCTTCCACCATACTGAAAAAAAATGTAATTTTTAGGCAGATAATTTTACAGAATGTTGTAAATATGGTTATTTACCTCAATTTTGCAACACATGCCAGTCGTCTTTATCATCCACAAGTTAAATCCAATGCTTAAGTGACAAGAGATCAAGGATAGGTTTATTTTCACTGATAATATCGTACACCATAATTATACAAGACAGTAGGATTGTTATGAGTGACAGTCCTGATATGGAAAGGCTTAATACTTCTCAATTTGAGGTCTTCCCTTATTCATAAAAAAATTCACTAGCACTTCCAATGTACAGCTCTCTTGGGATTACTTACCAGTTCAAGTGACAGACACGTCCATTGCAATCAAAGGAATCGATGATGGCTACATCCTCTGGAGACAATTCAAAGTCAAAGATCTGACCATTCTGTTCAATACGTGATTTTGTCACAGACTTTGGGATTGTAATATTACCCTGCTGCACCTAGAATTATATATAAACACACTTTAAAACATCAGAAGAACTCCTGTCATGTTCCACTATTGCCTATAAAACTTACTACACTGAAGGCAATTGCAAAAAGAACTATAAAGAGGGACAGTCGACAGTTTTTGTTAATAATCAATAATGTGATTATAGGATGCAGTATTAGAAGATTATTCAACACTAACGGCTCCACTCTGTGTACTCATAATACAATCATAACATCCAATACTGAAGAAAAACAGGTGTCAAGAAGGTGTTCTAAATAAGAATTTTTCACAAAAATGACAGCTGACAAGAGCATGGCTATTGCTGCCGGATCCACATACCCCAGAATTAACACTACATGCAACGAGCATGTGTAACATTCTACTGGCACAATGTGGTACTAAAATTGCATGCAGCATTGTTATACCTGTCTTGATAACTTGCCAGTCCTATTCTGCTCGTACTACAATCATACTCGTATGGTCATTCTCAGGCTTCTGATCTGAAACACCTCGTCCAAGTGAAAGCAAAGATGAAGTTCCATGGCTTCTTAACCCTAGCACCAGATGCAGTAAGAGGTCAGGTTCATGTTCTGGATAATTTACAAACACAGAAAAAATGCTTCCACTACATGTAGGATAGGGTGGGACCCAGCCAGTGTGAATGTGGCAGTGAAGAGAAAAATCCTACCCTGCCAGAAATCAAACTCCAATCACCTAACCCACATCATTTCACTTTACTGACAGCAATTCCACATACCTCTAGCACCATCAAGGGCGTCTCTTACCTTATATAACAACAAAGCGGCCTCCGTAGTCTGGAGGTAACGTTCCCACCTCATGACTCGTGGTACGCGGGTTCAAATACCCAGCGGAGGTCGTCGAATTTTTAAGGGCGGAAAAATTCAGGGAACAAGTCCTCCGGGAGGGACTTTAAGCTGTGTCCCCCGTGTCGTAACTTTATGGCACATAAAAGAACCTCATATCCCCAAAGGGGATCACTGAGCCAAATTCCAGGACGTTTCCCGCCCAACAATAGCCTCTAAGGCCTCTGATAGATGAGGGAAGCATTATAGACACCGCTAAGCAAGTGGCCGAACTCACTTGCTCGGCGGGACTGACGGTACACACCATTTATCGGTAGGGTAAAGAGACTGGTAGAATATCATAGAGGGAAGCACAATAGATCAAACTGGTCGCGGTGCTTGGGGAAACCCACCCTCTCTAAATAACTAACTAATTATATAACAACAATCTTTTCAGTGCAATCTATAAGAAGCTTCATATGAAAAGTGGGATTGTGAGTATTATTAGCAGACTGATACATGAACATACACAGTAGTACTCCCCCTAAGTCAGAGATGACATACCTACAAATGTCGGTGCGAAGATAAAGTGCAGGATTGATGACTGGCAGTGGAACACCTACCCCAGGACCAATTCAGCCACCATATATACTTACCTAGGTAAGGATGGATCTCAAAGATATTTTGACTAATAGGAATTGTCCATAAAGGTGGAACTCTGAAATAAGATGCTCCTTAACACTTCCTGTCTTTTGTTCACATACCTGGTACCTCAAAACAATCTGAGCAGGAGTCTTTTGATATTTTTCAGCCAATGCTTTCAGCTTTGGATCATCCAAAAGCTGTGGATCATCAGGCTTTGCCCATGGACGATCCGGAGAGCCCAGTGGGCTGTATGCAGTGATTGTTACACCTTTTGATTTGCAGAATTCTATTAACTTCTTTTGGTTCAAATATGGGTGACACTCAACCTAAAAAGTAACAGTATTATCAAAATTTAAACTGCCTAAAAACACATTCTTTGTTATTTTACACGCCTCATTGGTCTTGTCATTCATTCACTACAAATGTAATCCTTTTGCAGTGAAGCCAGCCACACTAGATATCATAACACATAAAATCAGAAATGAATTTTCCTTGTAATTTATTTATAGTTTTCATGACATTAAAAACGTTTAAAATAAAAGCTGAAGAGCTTAAAGGTATTTACATTTTATGTAATGATCCATTTTTAAAAAAATGAAAACAATTGAATTTGGGGTTTATTTGAAGCAGGGTTACAAATGGCTGACATGCATCAAAATTAAAATTTTGTAACAAATTTTACAATTAAAACTGCACAACTCACATTTTCCATCAATATCATGCAGCTATTAACATCCAAATCACAATCTAACATGTAAAATTACCAAGTGAAAAGTAATATTTCACAGACAATGTTCCAACACGAACCGTTTGTTAAAAAAGTGCTCGAACTATGTGACTAACTAAAGTAAAATGTATGAAGGTGTTGAGGCCCCTAGTGTCATCATAGTTTCATGAAAGGTGACCCCTTGGTTCAAAAGACACAAAGATATGATACCATCTCATAAAGCATGGTAACAAGTTAAATTTGAGAGTATAAGTCACAAGAGCATTTCTTTCCTTCCTTCCTTGAAGTCTTTCAGTTTGATCCTCACAATGGACAAAGAAATACTAACAATTATTTCCTGATCTAGACACACACCTGGTTGGTGACTGGCTTGATGCTAGCAATGGCCAGAATTCGTTCTAGCTGCTGCGAATTAAAGTTGGACACCCCAATTGACTTGGTAAGACCCTGTTCTACAAGCTTCTCCATTTCCTTCCATGTGTCAACATAGTCCACATCACTGTAGAGTGTTTTGCCATCCTTTTCTGGAAAGAGGTCTCCGCCTTCCTACAACCAGGCGCACACATTTCAAATTCACAATACTTCAAAGCTTTACAGCCAATAAAATATATGTCACAAAGATGGTTTGGTTTGTTACTTTATTTACCGACACTTTCTTAACTGCATGTTACGAAATAATAACGCTGACAACTGTTTTTTGTTTGGGTATGACACTTGGGCCTTTATTTTAGGGAAAGAACATAATTTACAAGTTCAAACTGTGGTCTTTTGGGTTGACCCTGTGTAGTCTTGTAGGTAAATACTGTTGTTTCAGAGAAACATGCTGCCTCCATCTTCAAAACTGAGGTGTGTTGGTTGAGGAACAAGACTGGTTATATTAGCAGGTTTTAAGGAAGGTGGGCAAGGAAATGAACCCTGATCCAGGCCAATGGAAGACAGACAAATGGCCACTGATGTGGCACTGAACCATGACACTTACATTTACATAAGACCACTATGTCGTTGAGTTATACAGCATACAGGAATCCAATCCACATTAATTTCTATTTTACTATGAAGTCACACAATGATCGGACCAACAAACAGTTTGTGCTGTCCCCCTTGTTATACATGGCCACAGCCAGTACAGTCTCCATGCTGAACTGGATATACCCTTTCATGAGAATGGTTGCAGCACAAAATATCTAATGAGCTGTCAACTCACACCAGCAGCAAGGCAGAACCCCATGTCAGTGGCCTTCCTGCCCTTCATCCAGAACACATTCAACCACATCAGCAGTGTCTGTCTAAGCATATCATGATGCTACACCTTCCAACAAGAAAAGTCACCAGCTTCAATTCGCCCATCTTGGTCTGAAAGCACTGGGTGTATACAGTGCCTCCTGCAAGTGTGTGAAGATGTACACTGGACAAATCAGTTGCTCCATTCAGATCAGGGTTAATGAACACCGCTGTCACATCTGACTGTAACAACCGAAGAAGCTGGCTGTGGAGGCACACAGCATTAGCATAGGTCATCAGATGCGGCATAACAATACCAGGATTCTAGCCAAAGCAACCAGGAGCAAGGATCACTTCATAAGCAAAACAATAAACAATATGAACAAGGAAAATGGGAAATAACATAAGCAGATCATGGAATCCTCGTATCTACTCCTTGAAGGAAAGAGAAAACGTTCTCCAAGAGCAAGTTAGCTACTTCCATGTGAAATGATACTCCTCTACTTGCGTCTTCATAACAAGGCCTGATTTCCCACTTCCCACCATCAGAGGCCATGGAAAGGACCATCTTTCACAAATTCTCAAAGTTCAAATTGCCCTGCTGTGTGGAAAGCATATTGGGCGCTTGCAAAGGCTGCCTCTTCTCAAAACTCAACTTCTCCCCCTGAAAAGGGCCAGTTTCTTACCCACAGCTCCCCAGTGGCCTGGACTGGGATCCATTTCCTTACCCCATCACTTTGGGTCTGAGAAATCAACTCCCCTGCAACCTGCCTATATAATTAACCCACACATTTCAATCGGGAAGATGGAGGCAGTACATTCCGCCAAGAACACTGATATCTATCTACCTACAAGACTACACGGTGTCACTATGCAAGTCACAATCTAAATAATCACTGCCTGAAAGCCTGAAAACTTGTAACATACAAATGTTCGATGATAAGTGCTCAGGAACATATCTGGACTTATAAAGAGTAATGTGAGTGGGCAATTTAGGACAGTATGTAATGGAGAAGTTCATGGTTCACAGAGGCACCTGGTACTGTTACAAGATTACAATAGACTGTATATGTGATTTTGACATAAAAAGGAATTCATACAAAATTTTGGTTGGGAAACCTCTTGGAAACTAACTAATCAGAAGACTGGCACGGATAACATCCAGATAAATGTTAGGGAAATCAACTGTAAGGATGTGAAGATGAACTGGCTCAAGGATGTATCCAATGATAAGCTCTGGTATCAGCAGTACTGAACATACTACATATACTACTAGAAGTGTAGTTACAATTATAAAGAATAAGAGAGGAAGGTAATTATGAACAACAAATTTTTAAGACTCTGGAGGGAAGCATTCACAGACACTTTCAAGGTACTATCCAAGCACTTACCTGGACAAAAAGACCAAGTCAGGCTAACCAAATTCAGGGAGGGAACTAAATCCAAGAACTACTGAACGAAGCAAAAGTGATAACAATATACCGTGATGTTTGGTCATATCTGTAATACGAGGGTAAGTCAATAAGTAAGTTACAAATGGATATAGAACTTAAACAAATATGAGTACTGATTTGAAAAATGCTTTTATTTCTCAACATAATCTCCCTGTATATTGAGGCACTTGTCCCATTGTTTCACAAGCCCCTGAAAACTAGCAGCATAAAATTCTATGGACTGCTGTCGCAACCAGGTGGTGACTTCCCCTTCTACAGCTTCATCGTCGGGAAAATGTTCAGCCGAAAGATGATGTTTAAGAGGGCCGAACAAATGGGAGTCGCTTGGAGCAAGACTCATCATCTGTGACAGTTTGGGCTAGCATATTGTGTCCATTTTGGTAGCGATGGAGATGCTGTAATGCCAGACCCATTCTTTGCATTTTGTGTTGTGGGATCAGCATGCACGGCACAGACTTTGTGAAAACCTAACCTGTCATGCGACTTCCATTTGTTCAGCCCTCTTAAACATCATCTTTCAGCTGAACATTTTCCCGACGATGAAGTTGTAGAAAGGGAATTCACCGCCTGGTTCTGACAGCAGCCCAAAGAATTTTATGCTGCTGGATTTCGGGGACTTCTGAACAATGGGACAAGTGCCTCAATGTACAGGAGGATTATGTTAAGAAATAAAAGCATTTTTCAAATCAGTACTCTCATTTGTTTAAGTTCTATATCCATTTGTAACTTCCTTATTGACTTACCTATGTACAACAGTCCTAATCTTGTGAATGCAGGCAGGAAATTCAACGACACCTTGCTATGAAGTGTTCTGTGATAATAAGTTGAATCTTTTTTGCCAGTGTAACCAACACTGAACCAAGAATTATCATGTGCAGCAAATAGCAAACACACAGCCCCAGACAGACTGCAAACTTTGTGTGTGCAAGTACACACATGTGCAACTAGAGACGCATTATTTCCTACTCCTGCCCCACAGTTTTTTATAAGGTGAATACTACTAGCCTTTCCATCTTGTCACAGTGCATAAAGTGCGTCAATAATGTCTGCATGTTGCAGTATTATTTCTGTGATGCCTACATAGGAAAAGTCCCTAGTTATGATGGCATTACAGTTTTGTTTTGTATGTCATGTTTCAGAAAGTTTCCTCCACAGTCCCTCCTAACAAATGCACAGATAATATATTAAAGTAGGACATAATTGATTCTTTCATATGTCCCATTTAATTAATTTTTCTGTCACAATACAATTTGACACTTATAACAAACTAATGTACAGGGTGTCTTATTTCTCCAAAAATCAATTGATTAATGTCAGTTTTACTGACAAAAGCAGTAGAACTAATCAAGTGGATGAGATCAGCATTTATATAGGCTTTTTTCAGCTTATATGGCAAATGTAACCATTTCCATTCCAACAACTCACCTGAGCACATACCATCTTTACTAACCAAATCTCCCATTTCTCTATATAGGAAATGTTTTGTCAGCAAAAATTCCTTTTTCATATACACTCCTGTAAATTATCATTTTTCTTAATGATGGCACTTTTGAAGACCCAACATATTAACCATGTTAAATGACACATGCCTGGCATTTGCAACTGTTATCATATCTACCTGGTATGCCATTGGCCAATGAATCAAATAGAGGTCTAGGTAATCCAAACCCAAGTCACTCAGGGTCTTCTTCAAGGCAGGTGCAACCAAGTCTGTTCGATGGAAGGTGTTCCACAGCTGGAAAGACATGCAAGGAAGCACAAAAAACAAGTGTAACCAATTTTACATGAACATTCTACCTTCCCAATCCCTCAGACGAGCAGTACAACAGCAAACAGACTGAACAAGAATATCTAGTGCATTCTTGGAGGTGGAATTAAGAAAATTAAGCACTAAATCTATTTGCAGTTTAAGTTCTACAGGGTGTACTGTTCATCATCAGACTGGTCTCCACAGACAACATGGCATTCTTCTCCCATACACCTGCTACTGTAGCTTATAATTCAAGGCTGCAGTTTAACTCACTTTACTGTACAGAAGGGACTCAAAGTGACCATGTCCTTCAAAGCATGCCTCAGATCATGAGAATGTTTCCAGGTGCACATCAAAGCTGCTATATGAGAACAGTGGAAATTTCATACTTAATACTTGCTTCAAGTTCTTCTACAAGACTGGGGATTGTTCCCATACACTCTTTCCTTCAGCATGTCCCACAAATAAATATTAAGGATTTCAATTGGTGATCACATGGGCCATAGTCCTCAACTTATGACTCATTTGCCAATAACTTCCTCTAATGCATCGAAAGAATTGTTAAGAGTGTGTGCAACTGCATTATCTCACATAAATTGCAATAAAAATTTCGTTCTTTAAATTTTAACAATACAAATATGGTGTGTATACAACTTAGACTTGTTTCTTATTTGTGATCTTACATTTTGATAAATTAGCTTAATTCATATGATTTCATATTAAGGTATGATTTTGGAGTATCTTGTGAGGTTCTTATTATGACTAGTATATGTTTTTATTTTCATTTTATTGTTTTTATTCACAAATGTGTTTTACATGTATTATATTTGTATTTTCTACTGTTGTATTTTGACAATCTGCTTGTTTGTAAAGCAGTGATTTTTTATCTGACTGTTCCTATATCCGATGGTTGTTCTCACAACATTGTAAAGATCTTATGGAATATAAACTAACTAACTAACACAACTGATCTTCATCAATCAGTTGAAGATGGATGGAAGTGTCAATCTCACATAACACTTGGCACTGTTTCATGAGAAAACGACAGACCCAGATACCCTCCATGCCCTAACTGCATACCAAACATGGGCACAGAAAGTCAGGGTGGCTGATATAAAGAAAAACTGAATTCCTTTTACATGCAGGAATAGCAGGCTGTGCCACAAAATGGATATCTGCTAGATGAAACAGCAACTATGCCATAGTTTAGACAATGCTCTTGATGGTGCACAGTGAGTGTTGCTATTATAGTAGTGGATGATCTGAAGCCTTCCTACCAGCTGTCTACAGCAAAGGCCTCTTGGGCAAACAGCATTATCAATCAGGAGCTAGAATCCAACATTTTAGGAACTGTCCTCATCACCAAGGATTTATGATGGAGTCTCAAAAACATTAGGTATACTAAGTCCATATTATGGGCCGTGCCATAGCTCAAGCGGTTAGTCGCTGGCTTCCCACCGCGGCAGCCTGGGTTCGATCCCAGGTCTGGTCAAGTGGAATTTGTGGTGGACAAAGTGGTGCTGGGGCAGGTTTTCCCTGCCAATCTTCATTCCACCAATTGCTCCACAATCACCCTCACCTATCATCTGGGGCTGGTACAATAGGCCAGAAGTGGCTGCAAGACAAGGGACTCAGTTCCAACCCACTAGCAATAAAAAAAAGTCTGTATTGTATGCATATCAGAATACAGTAAACCTTTGCTAATCCAGTTACAGTTAATTCAGACTGAAATATGAAAAATGCTGCTCACAGTTCAGTACATACTTTAAAAGACACATGGCATTTAGGAAGGCAGATGAGGCACTTGTATGTTCAGATATAACTTGACAGTTTCTTCAAACCTGCATCATTACGTTAAAAAGCAAGTAAAACTTCTAAGTTTTCTACCGATAAATAAATGTATTGCCACTTTTTTTAGTTTTTAAATACAGGCTCTATTGTGATATTATTTTATTTATTTTCATCAGTACTACTTCTATCATTAAATTTTCCATTTATTTGTGTTCTAAGTTTTTTTTCTTTGGGGGGAGGGGCTACCTTTTGTTTCACTAATCTAGCTGACTTGTCCTCCCAGTTAACCTGGATTAACAAGGGTTTACTGTATATTAAATTATAATTTATTCAGCTGTTCACTATGGGTAAAAATACTGGCATTCTCTTTATGTCAAAAACAGCAAACATTCAATAAACTTGAGCAAATTTTTCTAGAACTAGTTTTAAGAAAAACACCTTCAAAATGTGAAACCTTGCTTGTGATGAACAGATCTTCACGCTTCACGACTTTCTCTTCAATCTTGGCCTTAATTGCAGCCCCAACTTCAGGTTCATTTCCATATACATGTGCACAATCAATGTGTCGGTACCCAACATCAATGGCGTCCTTTACTGCTTGAGTGACTTCACCAGGTTTGGACTGAAATTTAGAAACAACATTATGTACTGCTCTATGTACGTGAAATCAGTAAACAAGACAATATCTGCAGAGTTTATCAAGTTAAACACCTATTAAAGCAGCTAGAGTGACCTGAAAAAAAAGTACATTTTGTTTTAGAAATATCAGTTATAAAAATATGATATGATGTATGGAACAACATTCCAGTCAACAGAATATTCACATTGTGAATCTCTGTGAAGAGAGTGGACAGGAGTACATCGATGCAGTGCACAAACTTTCCAAATGCACTCTTTGCTACCATGCAGACATCACAGACCTTAACATTCACTTATTCTGAATACAAAACAGATTACTGCACAAGTAATCATACTTCAGACATCATATTTCGGTCAGGAAACATTCAGCATGTTTAGTTAACAAATATCATCTGAATTCTATGTAAGATTTGAGGCTTTCACGGCGGTAAAAGCAGTCTGCTTTTACCGGTTCTCACAGTCTCTTCGCTTGCAGATTTCTTATATTTTTTCTTCTACCCTGAAGATGGAGACGATACGTTCCTCCGAAACGTCGGTTAACACCACATATACACGGTGCCAAATCCCAGAAGACTGCTTTCTTCATCATCTGAATTCGTTCACTAAGACAACGTGATAATGAGATTTCCTTTTTAATTTTATTTATTTATTTTTTTTTTTTTTTGCATTAAGACAAAACAATTGACAAACAGGGGCACAAAGTTCAGCACCTTGGTAATAGGTTTAGAGTAAGATGTGTAACTGCAAAATTCAACCCTCTCACCATAGTGCATATTATAAGAAGAGGCACTGATTTAACAGACTGGTATATATATCAGCAATGTATGGTTATTCAGCACACCAACCCAAAATGGGGTTGCCTGAAACATCAGTTTTTACTCCAGCACTCACAAAACTGATTGCGCTAGAAGATTCCAGTCCTCCTCCTCCTTCTTCTTCTTTGGCTTTAAGGAAAATCAGTGCTACGTAGCACACTGCAACTAAATTAGATCCAAGGAGGAACTTTCCTGTACTTTCTCCACAAGAACAAATCAAAATCAATCTTCATAGTTTTGACTTTGTAAACATCAAAATGAAAGAAAATGTATGCTTTATGCATACCGTTCCTTCAGACACTCACATATTTGATTTCAAAGACATAACATCATTGAAAATCATATCTCATTATACGTATTAAACATTCAGAACTGTAACTTATAAATTAATCTGAGCAGGAAAATTCTACCATCATTATGGTATATTTGTACAAACGTTTTACAGAACTCTATTTAATAATTAACCTGACATTTCAGTGTACATTACATGTATTATGATTCGTTGTGAAACATGAACCACCCAACTGAGTAGGTGTCTTACATTCCCCCCTCTCCCTAGGTCAGAAACAGATCCAGTTTCTGAAACGCATTTTCAAGTTTCTAGAATATCAGACAATGCACAAAATCCAAAAACTCTATGATTATGATAAATATTATAATTTGTCAGGTTATTATTTCAGAATATACAAATTGTGACTGTGATTAAACTGGACTGCACCCCTTTTCATTAACAAGTTATTATCCCAACCCCACTGCCCACTACCGTTCCGACTATTCACTTCATTATCAACCATATTCAGACTCTATGATCTGATGTGAGCTGCTAACTTAGATGGCACCATGAAACCAAATTCCATCCTCACTGACATGTGAATTCAAATGTCATAACAGTAAAACCACAATAAGCAAGAAACAAAGTTATATACGAGGGATCAGGTACAAAATGAGCATTTGATAATTGGAAGAACTGAATGACTGCACAGGCTATGATGAACCTGGATGAGGGTGGCTTTTCATAATTTGTTACATTTGAAATGTAATGGACATCAGTGACTGTATCATATCTTTGTAGTACAATGTAAAAGTATTCACTGTTACAGCCATACTTTAACAAAGAAAATGTATCAACTATGTCCTTCAATTCTGGAATCTGTCAATTGTTTCCTAAAAAATATTTCATCCCAACAGTGAAACGTGTATAACTGTATGAATCCAGCACAGGAACTGATGGCTGACACAGTTGCAGACGAGTGACAAGACCTTTCCATTTAGACAATACTGGGCAAGAAATGCAAATAAGTGTTGATATCATGTTGCTTTCCCAATTGCCTACATGCTCTTGATGGCAAACATGTCAGAACTAGTGCTGCCACGGAATTCATCCATGCATTACAATTCCAGGGAAAGTTGTTCTGTTGTTTTAATAACATTGGTAGATGCATAACAGGCCAGTATATCAGAGCATATGGAAAGAAAACTGTTGAGGGAGGTTGGTAACCACCTACCACCTACATGGTATCAGAACCCAGAAAACATCAGTCAGCGATAATCATTTACATTGTTATATTTCATCACACTAATCAATAATTCTGTTGAGGTCTGGGGTTCATCTACAATTAGTTTCAGTTCATCTGAAATTTTATGTATTCCAGCTCTGATGGTTTGAAAACGGAACACTGCATGTCCCCCCAAACAATCTTCTAGGTATCAAGGATGTGAGGCTACATCATGGTCAGAGACATTCATTTCAATTAAGAAGGTACATGTTAAGACTGAATCCTGGATCAAGGGCAATTTTTTCTTATTAGCTATCATATATTCATAAGCAAAGGGACTCATACAAGGACCCTCAGCTAAAAGAGCAAAGGAACTGTTGAAGTTAAACAGGTACCAGCTACAATGGGTGGTGGGATTACTTACAGGACACTGTCACCTTAAAGCACACCTCTTCAAACTGGGACTAAGTGACAGTCCCACTTGTGAGAGGTATCAAGAAGAAAATGAAACAGCCACACATATCCTGCGTGAATGTGAGGCCTTAGCTTATTTAAGATTATGTCACTTGGGTCAATATTTTATGGAACCAAGTGACTATTTCGATTTTCCCACATCCAAAATCCTGCACTTTGAATGAAGCACAGAATTGCTGAGGGGATAATCAAAAGGGGAAGCACAACAGACCAATGTAGTTCGTGGTGCAAGGGCAAAGAAGGTCCACCCCTTATACATTCATTCATTCATTCATTCATTCATGTATCATATATTCATAAAATGCCACAGAAAACATTAAAATTATTCTAACTACATGTACAAGTAACTCAATTTTACATAATGTTATCCAAGAACATATTTCCAACCTACTAAACAGCTTGGAATCTTTGTGTTTGACAAATCATCCCAGCCAAAGATACTTTGCTCATAATTAAACACTTGATGATGAAAAACACTATCAACAAATATTTATTTCTTTTCCTGGAAAAATAACAAGGAAAGGAGAAAAACATTTAACATTGTCCATGTGTACAGTCACCTATTTGTAAAATGTTAATAGAAGTATTCAAGTAATATAACATTGTGACATAACACGATTGTCAAAACATATTACTGTTTGTCCTAATTCGTTTCCAGTTCTCAAAATTCGTTTCTTTACATTTTCGCTATAGCATTTGCATCTCACATTATGCATAAACCTTCACAGTTACACGCACACGTATGCCGTTCTTGCTTCCATAAGAGTGCATAGCATTTGTAATACCAACCCCAATCAGAACGGGCATGGATATCGCGTGCGGGTATGGTTGGGGCGCTTGGGGTGAGCGAAATTTGAATGGGACAAAGGGCGGTACTAGATTACTGGGTGAGGCATGGTTATGTTTCAAAACATTATATTTCGCTTTCATAAGTTTCGGTTGGAGCTTCAGTTAAGGTTTCCCTATAGCAAAACAGATTTTTGTATGATGCACTGCCATGTTTCTTTCGTACTTTGGCAGTCCCACTACCGCCCACTGCTCTGTTTAGTGTTCCGTGCCTGTTACTACAGTGGCAGCACACGACGCCGAAACATCAGAGCAAGACTGTCGTAAGCGTCGTACGAACACTCGCGGCGCATTCTGAAGATGTGACCATACCCTATGGGCCTCCACGGCCTGTTACAGGGATACCTTTACTTTTTACTTACAGTTCATGGCTATTAAAAAAGGTAAAGTTGTCCCTGTGCTTAACTAATTAAGCAATATACCATGAAAGCGTATGGGGCAGTGGGTGTATATATCCACATTTTCTTGACCTCGGTACTAGCTGGAGGTGAGTAGTCAGCTTCACACCTATGTCGCTTTAACCCCGGGAAAGTGCCCCCGGTACCCACTGGATAGGAGGGGTGGGCCCCAGAGCCGGTCTGGACAACGTGGAGAAGAGAAAATTCTTGACCCTGCCGGGACTCTTAACTCCGACTCCTCGGTCGTCCAACTCGCAGCACGGCTCCCCAGTTCATGGCTACTACTTCAAATAATTTCTAGTCATTCATTTTATCACTGCTATGTGGCAAAACGACGTGCCGGGTCTTAGTGTCCCACGCCAACATGTCAAATATGCCTTACCATTTTGCCGGCCTGAGCCTATCGATGGTAACCCGTATGTCATGTCATAACGTGAACGTACAAGGCAAACACTTCAAAATAACACAGTACACTGAAACTGATTTAATTCAAACATGTAAAAACTGTATACAACCAGGTTCCTAATATTAACTGTTGGTACTATGGCCACGCACCGAAGAAACATTCTCAGGGGAACCATGTTTTACTAAACGACACGCGAACACAAGAGCAACATTGAAACGCTTATGAATTATAATAATGTGTTTAAGATACAGAAGCCAAAGTCAATCCATGAAGTGTAACAAGCCCTCTAGAAGAAAAACTTCACAACTGAGACACTCAAAATTTAATACATCCTCCTAAGGAGGGGAAAACCAACATTATTCAGCATAACGTAAAAATTATACATACTTCACATTACAGTTCTCAAGGTTAACATACTAAATAACTGACTGACCTTCCATGTTCCCAGACCAAATATTGGAAATTCAATTCCGTTGTTGAACCTAACAGTCGGAGCTTCAATTACTTTCAACGCCATAACTGCGGTAGCAAATGGTACAAATTTAACACCACCGGGTTTCAACCTCCTGTACGTAAAACACCTTCTAAATACACCCAATGTCATTGGCAGATTCGAAATTGTTCTCGTACTTTTTAACGGCAAGTGGGTGAAGTAGGGACTCGCATTTAGTATCTGTTGATGATTATTGTAACCACATCATGCAACTATTGGCGAGCCTACATACAATCGATATGTCAGTTCCCTAGTGTCGATTATGGCAACTACTATCCTCGCTTAGATGATGGCAAATGCTTGATCGGTAATACAGCGAACACCATTCTATTTTCATTTTGCATCGTACGACACATTCATGGATTTGGAACCAGATGACCAAGTCGACGGTGGTCTATTTCAAGGCATTCTTTAAAGATCTGGGGAATCCACGCGTACCTTCTGAATACTGGGCCGGGTACGTCTAAAATACATTTTCTGCTCGTATATATGGGCATACCAGCGTATGCGTACTCAGCTTGCTGGATTTGCCTTCTTATTGCCGAAACCCCACAGAATGCATTTGCCTCTGATTTTTAAACAGAAGCCATTGTACAAAAAGGGCAAAAACGAATTATTTGCAACAGAAAGCAATAACAGATACGAAACTTAGCTGTGGACACGGTAATGAAGACTCATACGTGCATATATGCACGTCATTATCGAATACTTTTTGGCATTGACAGAAATGCCAATATCGCTTCTCTCGTGGTTTCCAAGGACAGATGCCTATTTGCACAGTGCCTTGGCCGCGACTCGTTGGAACAGTTCCAGAAGTGTGTTTACGACATTGGATCGAGCAAGTTGACTTAAGCGTTATGTTTCTCGGTTGTATTCGTGAGGTGCCCTTTTCGAATATCACCCGGGGTACCGACTGGTATGATTGAGGTTGTAGTGGCTTGTATCTGTCCCTCCAGGCACATGACGGGGTAGTCTCTCAATTTCGGCCACCATCGTTTCTTTCCACACCCTTTCTAGTTTATCATTCAATAATCATCCCGCCATTCGATGCTAATAAACAGAGATACTGACATTGTAGTTAAGTCTATCTATCTCTCTATCTAGAGCCCTTGTGGACCTGGGCAGCTTTTTTCAGTTTCTTTATCTACACAAAGACGGTAGGACTCCTTGGACGGGGATCAGCCCTTCGCAAGGCCGCTACCTACACACAGAACAACACAAACACAGAATGAACTCACACAGACATCCATGCCTCGAGTGGGATACGAACCCACGATCCCGGTGTTCGAGAGGGTGAAGACGGTTCTTGCCTTAGACCACGAGGCCACTGTGATCGGTTACGTAGTTACGTACACCACAAATAAACACATGCATAGACATTTATGCTCAAGATCCTCAAGATCTATACAGCAAAAACTAAATCCTGGAGTAGGAGGTTGAGGCTTCACTAAAAGAATGTATTCGTTTTTGGTTATGTCCCCTTGCCTTTAGTGTTACAATAAATACTTTTGTGTGTGACTTTTTCCCTATTATTTATTCACTTCTTGTTCTGTTTCGACTTTTATCTTCTCATTTCTTTCGTTTGTTCTTTTCTTATCGTTTATTACAGCCCTTTTTCATTAGCTTCCTACTTCTTCTCTAAGAGTTCATTTTTCCAGTAGGTCATATTTTATGCAGTGAGTCCTAGTTGTACATGGATTCAGACTGGGAACTTCAATAATAATGTCGAAGAGTATCATTTAGGATAAAATTACAGACTAAATTTTGACTCCGTATGTGCCATCAAAACCGACATTTGCGCTTTGCAAAGAATGCCTTGAACAAGTTACAGATAATGTGATTCACTATTCTGTTATATATTATTTTGAACGATGACATCATTTTCAAATGAATGCGTTTTTTGTGTGTGTGTGTGTGTGTGTGTGTAGTGGCTATATTATGTCGATATTACCCAAACTAAAGCGGCCTCCGTAGTCTAGAGGTAACGTTCCCACCTCATGACTCGTGGTACGCGGGTTCAAACCTGGCGGAGGTCGTGGAATTTTTAAGGGCGGAAAATTTCAGGGAACAAGTCCTCCGGGAGGGACTTTAAGCCGTGGGTCCCGTGTCATAGCTTAACGGCACGTAAAAGAACCTCATATCTCCAAAGGAGGTCACTGAGCCAAATTCAAGGTCATTTCCCGCCAAACAGTAGTCTCTAACACCTCTGATAGATGGGGGAAGCATTATAGATACCGCCAAGCCAGTAGAGGCCGAACTCG